CCGGCTCTGGGGCCCACCCAGCCTCCTCTACAATGGGTACCGGGGTCCTTTAATGGGGGTAAAGCCGGCCGGGGGCGTGATGCTGACCACTCACCCCCATCTAGTGCCGAGGTCAAGGAAGAGAGGAGCTACACCTCCACTCCCCCCAAACGCCTACATGGCGTATAGTGGGACAAACTTTACTTTACTCGACGTTTCGGTAAGTTTTACACTCCTGTCTTAAGGTAACTGGAAGCCTCGCTATGAACTGACTCAGGGGTAAATGGCGGGCGGGCTTCTTTAAACGCGACGGCGAAACTCCGGGATCCATAATAGTGGAAAATTTCTGGGTTCTCGTGTTCTTACTGAAGGACAGACAGGAGCGAGGCTAATTTTGTCCATGTTTGCAAAAGCAAAGACACGCAGTATGAACGAAATAATTAATCAGCAAATGGAAGAATATATGACTACAGAAAAAAAAGCATGGCACACGTCTTCGCCCCCCCGGGACCCGGACGTCGTTAAAACCGAAAGGATTCATTCAGCCTAATCACCGGAGACAGAAGGAGAAGAAGACGTAAGTTACACGACTATGAAAAACTCACAGGAAAGAAAAGACGCGCGCAAACTTGGCAGTTCACAGAAAGACTCTGTTGTAAGTGCAGACAGAATCAATCACACATAGGAATGACTGACATCCCAGTGTCACGTACATTATGTCTGCGGCTGTAGAGTAAAGATGTTGATATAATTGATAGTTGTCTCGCTTTCAGCTGGCTTCGAACATGAATCAGGTCTGTAGAATTTACAGACAGACTTCAATTAATGTTTAAAACATTCCTACCGACCACGACATATTTGGACATTTTCCTTCAGGCTAAGTCCAAGTATTAATAATCATCTTTAGTTTAATACTTAGCTCACTGTTTCTTAGACGATGCAATAAAACTGACCGTGATTCAAGATTCAATAATGCCAACACAACGAGAGGGAACTTTTGTATTCATTTCATGTTATGACGTTATCATAAACTCAGACTACGTGGTGTACAGTGTCGAGTGATTGGACAATTCGCAAATAATAAATCAGAGGGAACATGGAAGGTAGCAATAGTGGCTAAATTTAAGGTTCTATCCCAAAATTTGACTCACGAGACTGAGTAAAACCACTAAAATCTTGAGTATAGCTGCCTCCGGATCAAGATTTTAAATCAAGTCTTCCAAATACGGCTAACCACTTGACTGTGACGTCACTTTGCCAACATCGCCACACCCTATCTCGCTGATATAATTTTTAATATTATCTTGCAATCTAGCCCTGCGCCTTCTAAGTGGTGTCTCACATTCAGGTCTTCCTACCGAAATCTTTTGTGCAATCTTATCACTTCCAGTTCGTCGTCCACAATTTGATAACGCTAATCATATCAGGCAAAGTGCTCAAATCAAAGCTCGGCGCGCGGTATTCTCCGGCATCCTGTTAATTCTTCCATCGCCAGGTCCAAAGAGGGTCGTCGTCGTCATCCTCAAACTACGTTCTCCATCAGATCCATTTTCACACCCGGATAAAAATCAACCAGACTTCTCAGCATTCTACTTCATTTTAAGGTACACGTTTCTGAGCGACATGATAGCATCGGTTCTTGAAATTTAGTAAACTTTAAATTTCTTCGTCAATACATTTAAATTCGTTACTGCCCTTCCCTAATATCTTAAATTTTGCCACGTTCATGAAGGATCCGTTTCAGGTCCTTATTTGATGATTTGTCTCTATATTTTGATGAAGAGCTGCTGACATATACTTGGGCCCAGCTTATTTCTAGATCCACTTCCGTATGATAGAGCTTGTGTGGATTTAATGGTGTAGCCCATAATATTTCGTCCACTAAATTAGTAAAGCTGTTACACTAAAGCAGGAATTAAAATCAATTAATTCAGGCCACAGTAAAACATATTTGCATTATAAGTTACATTCTAATGAGGCAAACCATGGACAGTTTCTAGGGTCGAAAAAAGGCGTTCAGTTGGTCTTTAGAGTCTCAAATGTCGTTTGTGCACATTGACTCATATTTTGGCAACGTGTAATCGTATTTTGGTCAAACTCTCACTTGTCGACCCAGCAAGATACTGGACGTAAACAAATCGATGTATCAATTCTCGTGATATAATTTATTTTTTGTTGAATCATTTTACAAAAAGCGAGCCCCCTCCCCCCTCCCGTCCCTACTTAAACCTACCCTTAGGCATCTCTTGTGACGGGAATTTCACGCTACACTAAAATAAGGCAGGGACGTTCCGCTTATTTTCTTAAAAAAAAAAGAAGATTCTTGATCTTGACTAAGGTGGTCCAGAGGTGATACTTATGTTTTTGGGCAATGTCTGGCATATCAAGGTGATCGGTTAATTCGGTGTTCCAAGAAA